ACCCCCCGCCCACCCCCAAAAAAAAAAAAAAAAAAAAAAGAAGGAAGAGAAGAAAGGCTAAAACCCTTTTCTTTGAAAACAGCCTTTGGGACCAGAAAGCAGGGAAAGGTGAGGTTGTATCGACTCAGTGCTGTTTTATCACCCTGGGAGGTTATAGTCTGCCCAAGTGTTAGGACAAACAGCAGCCAACTGGCAGACATCTCCGTCTCTTTGTTTTTGTCTCAGTCTCAATCTCTCTTGTTCTCCATTGGCTTAAGCAGATTTGGAACACTGACTTACAGGAAAGGAAGAGAGTTGTATGTGAAACACGATTATTACTAAACATATTTCATCATAAAGAATAATATTCCCAAAGCAATAAAGAATTGTAAAAACTGAAGAATATGGAACAAAACAAGCAACAGTCCAGCAACAACAGATTCTATTTCAGAAGTTTGGTTGACTTCTGCAACTTGATCAAGATGCGTGTGTCCTGAGGCAATGATATCTTAAGCTACCTATAGGATTAATTTCCATTGATTTAGCTTGGTTTCCTGAGGATTAACTGATTATTTTAAGCACATCATAACAAAAGAAACAGAAAAGTCAAACCAAACTTTAAAAACTAAAAACCCAAGAATATAAATTGAAGCCGAATTTTTACACAGTGCCCCAGAGACCTAGGTAGGATGCTGGTCAAATTAGATCTGAGGTATCTCTCTCTTCTATAAAATACTGTACAGTTTTATTCTTCTTTCACTTCCTATTGTTTTTAAACTGCAGAACAATTTTTTTTAAAGGAAAAATGATTATCTTTGAGCCAGAGGGTGGCACAACAGTAATGGAACTGGACCCACATGGAGGCAGTCCTGGGTTTGTATCCTGGGACCTCCCTAAGCACCCTGGGTGTGTGTGCATGCCTGTGATCCAAGCAGGTTGAAACTGGGGTAGATTATGATACAAAGACTCCCTTGGAGTATGTGTCTGTCTTATATTTACTTGTATTATCGGTAAGAGATGGCCAAGTTAGTTTCTGTGCTCCTTTTTATCAGACTAGTAGCAGCTCAGGTTTATCTGTGGACTCCTGATTTTTATTTAGTAACAGGAAATAGGAAAATATTGTAAGATTAATCTGATGTAGAAAGAGCTGGTAGGTGGCTGATTGATTAAATGCTAGTCAAAGGTGGAAGTCATAACCACAGCAGAAAAGATGGCCAAGTGGTGGTGCAGTGGAAACGCTATGAGACCCACTAGGTAAAGCCCAGGACCGCCTGAGCACACTGGGCATCCGCTCATGTGCCCGTAGCTAGGTGGCTGAGACTGGGGTTACAGCCTGGGAGCCTACAGGGGATACTTGTCTCTGTCTCTCTCTCTCATGAAAGAAGTAAATAAGCAAAGTTAAAAATAAAACAAAAAACTATTGGGACCAGCAGTTAGCATAATGGCTATGTTGCTGGACTCCCAGGTAATCAACCACAGTTCAAGTCCCAGACCTGGTGGCTTAAACTCACGCTGGGCGCGTGTGCATGTGTGCTCAAGATCCTGAGGGGAGAATGGAGGAGAAGGGATTGCAGCATGGCCATCTCCCCTGGGGGGGGGATTTCTCACTCCCTGTCTCTATTTCTCTGTCTTTCTGGTGAGTGCACACACCCTATAGCCAAAACCTCTCAAAAAAAAACCTATTTAAAAACTTTTGAAAAGATATGTACTTTAAATGTTATAATTTAACTTGAACATAGAAAAATGTACTGATTTTTTTGAGAGTTTTTTTGCCATAGGACACTTGTACTCACCAGATAGAGAGAGAGAGACAGAGAGAGAGACAAAATGAGAAATCACCCCCCAGGGAGGATAGCCACACCATGATTCCTTCTCCTCCATTCTCCTCTCACGATTTTGGGTATGAATGCACATGCACCCAGAGTGAGTTTCAAGCCAGTGGGTCGTGTTCAAACCATGGTTGACCATGTGGAAGTCCAGCATCTCTACACCATACACCACCTGCTAGCCCCAGTGTACTGAGTTTTTAAGACAGCCAGTTCATATTATAAATATAAACCATACTTCTAATACACTGTTTCTGTTTTCCTATTTTAGTTTTTTTCTCTTTTATTGCCAAAGGCTGTGTGTGCTCACTAGAGAGAGACAAATAGATGGGAAGGAGAGTGAGAAATCACCCCTCAGGGGGGAAGGTCATGCTGCAATCTCTTCTCCGTTGTCCTATCACTATCCTGGGCAGGCATGCACACGTGCCCAGTGTGCTTTCCAAGTCATGGGGTTCAGGACTTGAAACACACAGTGGGCCATGTGGGATCTGGTCATCCCAACCTCCATGCTGTGAGCTGGCCCCAATTTTAGCTTTTTTTTTTTTAGAGATTTTTGCTACAGGGCATGTGCGCTTGCCAGACAGACAGAGAGAGACAGAGAGCTGGAAAGCAAGAAATAACCCCCTGGGGGGATGGCCATGCTGCAATCCCTTCTCTTCCATCCTCCTTTTGGGATCTTGGATACGCACGCACATGCACCCGGCGTGAGCATAAGCCACTGGGTCCGGGACTTGAACCGCCGTTGGCTACATGGGAGTTCAGTGACATAGCCATTACGCTAACTGCTGGTCCCAATTTTAACTTTTTAAATGGTGAAGTAACTTGAAACAATCTGACTGTAAGAATTTAATTTTTATTATTTTTTTAAAATACTTTATTATTTTCAGATTAATTTCACATTTAACATAAAGTCCCCATCATGATATATATAAAAGTTTTTTTGTGTTTGTTTTTTTTTACATTTTTCTTTGTTAAATGTTTCTCTCCTTTGCACCTCACATTCACCCTCTACCACCCACTCCCCTCTCTTATGGTCTCTGGCATCCACACTTAGCCTCTCTATAATCATATCTTTAAATCTTTCAAGTTCTGCCATAGAGTGTGGATACTCAGTGCAAATTAAATGAGGATATACAGTGCACATCTTTCAAAGTCTGGCTCATTTCACTCAATATTAAGACTTCTGTTTATATCTATTTTGAATCAAACATTAGGGACATAGGGTCTCATTGTTCTTTATAACTGAATAATATTCTACAGTATACATGTACCATAGTTTTTCAACCCAGTCATCCATTTTTTGACACTTAGGTTTGTTCCATGTTTATTATGTTTTAAACAATACATAAGAGATCTTCTCACAAACTAAATCAGTAGGAAGTTTATTTGCTGAGACAGTTATCAAGACTATCCAAAATAATAATTTCTTATAAACAGTGATTTTCCTTTTTCCACTTAGGCAAATATTTAAACTGATGAAACATTAGTTCACTTTCGTTTTTTTTTTAAAGCCGAAGAGTGCATGTATATGATGGGTTAGGGGGTGGAGAGAAAGCACCCCCTAATGGGCCTGGTCATGCCTCAGTCCTTTTGCCTCAATTCTCCATCTGTCAGGATCCTGGCCATAAGCATGTGTAAACAGGCACAATTAGCATGTTTTTCAAGTTGCCGGGGTTGGGAGTTGAACCTTGGTTGGCCCTGTGGGATTCACTTCTTCTGTGAGCACTTAACTGTTGCACTACAGGGCCAACCTCATAAATTAATCTTGATATCAAGTCTAGGCAATAAAACAGGTGTTGGAATAAAGCCAATTATGGGAGCTCTAGTATTTTAGCCTCCCAAAGAAGACCATTGCGTGCAGGAACATTTGGCACCCATCTGTCCAGCACCCCCCTCAAAGTGGGAATAACAGCACCAGGTTATTTTGCAGTGAGTTGGTTATGTGCAGTATGGTTAAGTGAGTTTTTCCCTGCATAGGAAAGGAAGAACCAGAAAGCAATGTAATTAGGAGAGAGGGGGGAAAAAGGAGCAAAGCAAAGTAATAACAACAGTGATGTTTACACAGAGACAAAAACCAGAAATATATGATCTTCTGAGTGAACGAAAGAGATGAATATTATGGGAAGACAAAGACATTAGGGATCTTCAAAAAGGTCATGGAAAATGCTTATTACAAAAAAATCTGTGCATAGATTTCAAAAGCTTTTTGTGATGAAAGAGAATGTAATTCCTAGGTAAACACATAAGGGGAAAATGTTAATACTGATTAAAATGGGATTGAATATACTTTAAATTTATGTCAGTGGATCTCCCTGATAGGTTGACTCAGAAGGAGCATAGGGTGTTTTAAGTCCCCCATTCAGTTATTGTTCAGGAACAGTAAAATAACTAGTGGAAAATACATCTCAGATTATATAGCCCTTGTTTTATCTATCAAAAAGCAGGCCACTGCATATATTTTACTGTATTGATGGTGTTTTAGGTCAATTAGTTCTTTCTTTCTTTCTTTTTTTTTTTTTTTTTGGAGAGGTTTTTGCTATAGGGTGCTTGCACTCGCCAGAAAGACAGAGAGAGACAGAAAGCGAGAAATCACCCCCCAGGGGGATGGCCACACCACAATCCCTTCTCCTCCATTCTCCTCTCAGGATCTTGGGCACGCACGCACACACACCTGGCGTGAGTTTAAGCCACCGGGTCTGGGACTCGAACCACAGTTGACTACGTGGGAGTCCAGCGACATAGCCACTACGCTAACTGCTGGTCCCAATTAGTTCTTTCTTGATTTTTGGAGAGTTCCCATGATATGGGCATGTAAGGAGTGACTTCTGAGAATAGGAACCCATCTGAGACATGTTCTTTGTAACTTGTCATTTCCAGGTGGGTTTTTAAGACTTCTCTTCCTAGCTACTACTACGTCTTTCTAAGCCTCAGTGAGTCTGTTGTCTTTACCCAGCCACAGTTGGCTTAAAGAACATTAGGTGAAGCTTTAACAGATTGACTACAGCCTGACTGTTTTACAGAATTACATGACTCTTTTGGCTGTGGGTTAGAGGGAGCTGAATTGCAGCTTCATCATTGGCCTCTATTTATGTTGAAAAATGTATTTCCTATTGAAACGCGCCATGGTGAAGAAATATGTTACTCTTTGTTGTGGGACAGCCTCATCTTATCTACAGCACACTTGTTATTTATTAGGAAATTCTATAGAAAGTAAATTACTGTCAGGCAAAAGCTGAATGCTGTAAGAAACTATAGTTCCTTTTGCAGATCCCAAGGATGTCATTTAGAAAATTATTGCTTTTCTCAGTCTAGAAAAAGTGCCTAATGATAGAAAGGCTCTAGCTCTTAATGTATAAGTAATATTGTTAATTCTTTCCTGTGCTGACTTATATGAAGGGTCTTCAGAAGTTTGTGGAAAATGCATATTATGAAAAACTGTATAAACTGCAAACTTTTTGCACCAAAATAGAAATGCACTTTAGTTGCATTTTTCCACGAACCTTTTGACACCTCCTCATATATTAGATTTCATTTTGTTTGTATAAAAACTGAAAATATCAGCTAGCTGTTGGAAATAACTCACTTGGGAGACTGTCCGTTTTCTTCCTTTGGCTGTAAAGATAAGTCTGATGCCTTATATATGACTTATGGCCTTTATTGAAAGAATTTCTAAAAATTAATCTTGCCAGAAGACTGACCTGGAATGTGATATTCGTAGCTATCTGCAAAGCTTGTGTGAACTGAATTCTAGCTGGCATATGAACTTTAAAAAAAAAAAGTTGATGATTGAGGCCAGCAGGTGGCATGGCAGTTGAGGCAGCTGAATCCCACTGGCTAACCACCTGGTTCAAGTCCTAGGACAGGTGGCTTGAAAAACATGCATGGCGTGTGTGCATAAGTGCCCAGAAATCCTGACAGGAAGATGGAGGAAGGATTGTGGTGTGGCTACCCCTGTGTGGTGATTGCCCCCTAACGAATGCATACACTTATCTTTATAGCAAAAAAAAAAAAAAAATGTTGATAATCACAATGTTTTCTGTATCCCAGAAGCACATTCACCTTCTCTTTACCCGTGAGCCCAACATTTGTGCTTCTTTTCAGGGCAGTCTACTTTGTTCGGCATAAAGAATCCCGGCAGAGGTTTGCCATGAAAAAGATCAATAAACAAAACCTCATCCTTCGGAACCAGATCCAGCAGGCCTTTGTGGAACGGGATATCCTGACTTTCGCAGAAAACCCCTTTGTTGTCAGCATGTATTGCTCCTTTGAAACAAGGCGCCACTTGTGCATGGTCATGGAATACGTGGAAGGTAAATCTCTCAGACACACGGAATGTGACACCTGCAGTTTGAAATCTCACTCAGTTGTGTTGTTGGAGCTCTCTGTGTTTGTGCCACTTAATAGCTGAATTCACCTAGGAGCTGAAGCCAGGCGGAGATGGCTGTATTTCCAGTCATTATCTTCTGATAATTGCTTGTAAAGTGCCAGTCTACTATAACAAAGGGAAAATTAGTGGTATTTGGAAAAAGGTTTTTCTTTTTTAATAGCTTTAAATCCCAACCACCGCCTTTCAATTGGCCATTAAAGTTGGGATATAGGTGATGGGATTTTTCCTTCTTATTTTTATCACACATTGTAAAAACATTCATTAGAATCAGTCTTAAAGAGTGAATTGAAAGTATATCCTTTGTGGTCTACAACAAAAAATTACAAATGAGTTAGGGGAAAGGAGATACATTTAGGAAAATTCAACCAATCTTCCTGATTTTCAGCTTTTATTTTGCTTCCTTTTTTATAAAGGTTTGTGATCTGCCTTTTGAGTGCTCCAAGTAACATTTCTGTCAATTTTTTTAATGTTCTTAGTATTGGAGTATCCCTGACTTGTTGACCTAAATAAAGTTAATACAATAAATAGATCAACAAAAGCGAAAATAGTTTTCAGAAGTATCTAATTTAAGCTCTTCTCTTTATTTGAACAGAATCCCAAGAAACTCAAAGACACATTAGATACCCTGTGGTTAAACCTTTTCATTTTGCAGATGAGTGAAATGAACTCAAAAAGGGGAGGTATACTAGATATTGAGTGGCAGATATAAGACAGAAGCTTGGCCTGCCCAATCTAACCATTGTTCTTTCCATCACATCAATACTTTCTTAACCTCAGTTGTGGCCATCTTGACAACAACAGTATCACGTGTGTGATGTGTTTTGTAGGTACCTTAAATTCTGTACATGAACTTTCTCATTCAGTCCCCACAGTACCTAAAAAGGACAATGGCATCACTCTCCCGATGTTGCAGATGAAGGAGGCAAGACTGGCTATAGTAGTTTGCCTGTGATCTCCCAACCTCACAGGAGAACTGGGACATAGGGAGTGATGATTCCAGAACCCATGTTTCATACTGGTATATTTTCTTACTGTGATCCTACAATTCTGCTAGCATTTCTTCAAAGTACAATTCCACTTCAGAGTCAAACCTGCCATCTTAAAAACACTGCTTTTTTGAAGAAAAATCAGTATTTTCCCCATACCACATTGCAATAGAAAGGTGATTACTGAGCATACAGCCGTTGTTCACAAATACTGTATGCCATGTCTATGGCTAAAGATGATTCCACTTAAAAATTTGACAGTCTAAGCTAATGGTCCCCACAGTTCCTGATATTGCTCCTGCCAAATACTTCCCCTGTGTTTTATAGGTGGAGACTGTGCTACCTTAATGAAGAACATGGGTCCTCTCCCTGTGGATATGGCCAGGATGTACTTTGCTGAGACGGTCTTGGCCTTGGAGTATCTTCATAATTACGGAATTGTACACAGAGATTTGAAACCAGACAAGTATGTACACTGATGAAACCCATCTTCTGTTACACTATACAAGTAATTGTCTTCCATCTATGAAAATGTGTTGTTTTAATGTGCTTTGCATATCTTTAAAATGCTTCCCCAATGTCCAGGATGAGTTATTTTAACAGTGTGTATGGTACATTGGATATAATTATGTAAGGATTATGATGCTTACAATAATAACTAATGAGGAAAAAAAAGAAAAAGATAACTATAAAGCCAGAGTTAGTTAACTTTTTGAAGTACTTTCATTTTTTTCATAGCTAGAAGCATGTGTGCTCATTGGAGAGAGAGACAGAGAACCCCCTAGTGAGGCATGCTCACTGTAATCCATTTTCTCCCATTTTCCCATCCCATCAAAAGTTGGGGCATGCACACACATGTGTCTAGTGTGTTTTTCAAGCCACTAAGGCTGGGATTCAAATCATAGTTTGTCATGTGAGTTCCAGCTTTTTATGCATGGTGCTTCACCACTATGTTATGGGGCCAATCCAAAAGTTGTTTTTCCTTTTTTAAAAAATTATTTATTTTTAAAATTTCATTTGTTGTTGTTAATTCACCAAAGAGAAAGGAAAAGCGAGAAAGCAAGCCGCCAGGTCTGGGACTCAAACTGCAGTTGGTCATGTGGAAATCCAGTGCTTTCAATCACCACACCACCTACCTGCCTCCAAAATTTGTTTTCCTTTTTCATTTATTTATTTGTTTGTTTGTCTTTGGAGATGTTTTTGCTATAGGGCACATGCACTCACCAGAAAGACTGAGAGAGACAGAGATTATAGAAAGCGAGAAATAACTCCCCAGGAGGATGGCCATGCTGCAGTCCCTTCTCCTCCATTTTCTTCTCGGGATCTCAGGCATGCATGCACATGTGCCTGGCGTGAGTTTAAGCCGGGACTCGAACCGTGGTCTACTACGTGGGAGTCCAACGACATAGCCATTATGCCAACTGCTGGTCCCCAAAATTTGTTTTTCTATGATATAAACCTTTGGATAGATACATAGAATGCTTCTAGGTTTTTTTTTTTTGAAAATTTCTTCATTTGGTATTATACTTAAATAATGCTTTCCTATATTCCAAGATGATATGCTTGATATTCTTTTATTCAGAATTTAATTTTTTATTAATTTTTAATTTATATGGAGTTCATTTTTGTACCTGATTTAAAATGCAGATAAACTATGTTCCTCAAATGCCCACCTATTTGACACTGTTTATTAAATATTTCATGCCTTCTCTACTAATTTGAGATGCCTCTAAAAATATTACATGTTAACATGTAAAGACTTCTAGTGTGTTGAAAATTTTGTGATAAAATCGACTCATGAATTCTAGAAAATTTGGACAGTGCAGGGAAAAAAGATAACATTTCATTCACAATATTACCAAAGACAATTGCTAGAATTTTGTCATATAGCCTCCTAGTGGTAGTCTCCCCTCCATTTTGTTAGTCTCATAATTGATTTTATACTGTAAATAGGGATTAAAACTTATTTTCCCACCTAAAATGAAAAATTTTCAATATAGTCAAATGAGAACGCTTGGCATGTAGAAGAAATATAGGTTTTGTGTATAATGAGTAAAGATTTAAATTAGAGCTTGATGTTGAAATCTGAGCCAATGCTATATCTTTCTGTCTAACCTCTTTATCTTACCTCATTGGACTCATAGATCTGTTGCTAATCTTAGCTCGTAGTGTGGGACGTGGGATTATTGCTAGCTCTTTCTTTCATTTTCTTACTCTGAAAATGGAGAGGAGTCAGAGTTCCATATTTGTCTAAGTTTCAGAGTGCTGTAATGATACCGCATTTGACTGCTTCAACAAAGATTAGCTACGCCTTGTCTCTGGTCCTCCCTTAAGAATTATACTCGTCTGTGAGTTGCATGTATTTGACATCTTTGTGAGACTTCATCTCTTTCCAGGCTGAGTTTTGTAATAAAGTTGATATCAAGAAATTAGCTGGTCTTACAAATTGATGGGAGAAAGGGGAAACCTAAAAAAAATGGCAGCAGCTTCCAAGTGATTATTGTACTGTCTCTCCTTCTGCTTCATAGCTTGTTGGTCACCTCTATGGGGCACATAAAGCTGACAGATTTTGGATTATCTAAGGTGGGACTAATGAGTATGACCACCAATCTTTATGAAGGTCATATTGAGAAGGATGCGCGAGAGTTCCTGGACAAGCAGGTAAGACGGGCTCTTTTCTGTCCTATACAGAAATAGGAAGTACAGAACCAGTGAAAGTCAGAAGCAGAGTGTGCAGGCCATCTTCGTATTCGTATTCGGACGGGTACTTTAGATGTCTGTATAAGCCTTACATTTAATAAAGTGCAAATTGCTCCCATTTTTCTCCCTGGGCCTCTTTGATCTGTCCGCTCCCTCACATTCCACCCTCAACATTATGGTCTATTAGCAAGACGAACGATCTAATTGCACACAAGTGAAAGTGTGAAAAAGACAAATGGAAAATTGTTTTTGTAAGGAATTCAGGAGTCTCGGTAGAGTACTCGTGAAACTCATGATGCATCATACAATCACGGGTGCGGAAATCTGAGCCATGGCCCATTTCCTCTAAGCATGCCTCATTACCATGTGCCCACAATCTGTTCATTGTAAAGTTACTTAAGGTAAACACATCTCGACTGTTATGCTTTTATGAAATAACTAGGGTTTGGATATATTTCATTTTTAGAAATACTACCATGATAGTGACAGATTAAAAATTCACTATTATTGTAAATTTAAGGATTACAAATATTTTGAATACTGTAAAATAGGTAACAAAAACCCAGAGTCAGATTCTCAATATGAAATTACACTGTACATGTGATTTAATATTAGAGCAAAATTTTAAACATTCCTCTTTGTTATGAAAGTAATAATTTACCTTGGTATTATAAATACCTACATTAAAATTGCTCTTATTTTTTTAGAGAGAGATTTTTGCTATAGGGTATGTGTACTTGCTGGAGACACAGAGAGAGACAGAGAAACAGAAAGTGAGTAATACCCCCCCCACCTCCATTCTCCCATCTCCCCACTGCCTAGTCCCCGTGGGATGACCATGCCATAATCTCTTCTCCATTCTCTTTACTGATCTTGGGCATGCTGAGTTTCAAGCCAAGTCCAGCAACATAACCGTTACGGCGGCTGATGGTCCCACAGTTGCTATTCTTAAGTTTGTTGTGTGATTCCAGGAGGTTGAGCAGATGTACTCTAGACAAAATAACTGACATTTAGCCATCTTGCTTGATTTGTTTCATGTCTAATATCCTCATTATTCTTCCTGGACAAGCAGGTAAGACGGGCTCTTTTCTGTCCTATACAGAAATAGGAAGTACAGAACCAGTGAAAGTCAGAAGCAGAGTGTGCAGGCCATCTTCGTATTCGTATTCGGACGGGTACTTTAGATGTCTGTATAAGCCTTACATTTAATAAAGTGCAAATTGCTCCCATTTTTCTCCCTGGGCCTCTTTGATCTGTCCGCTCCCTCACATTCCACCCTCAACATTATGGTCTATTAGCAAGACGAACGATCTAATTGCACACAAGTGAAAGTGTGAAAAAGACAAATGGAAAATTGTTTTTGTAAGGAATTCAGGAGTCTCGGTAGAGTACTCGTGAAACTCATGATGCATCATACAATCACGGGTGCGGAAATCTGAGCCATGGCCCATTTCCTCTAAGCATGCCTCATTACCATGTGCCCACAATCTGTTCATTGTAAAGTTACTTAAGGTAAACACATCTCGACTGTTATGCTTTTATGAAATAACTAGGGTTTGGATATATTTCATTTTTAGAAATACTACCATGATAGTGACAGATTAAAAATTCACTATTATTGTAAATTTAAGGATTACAAATATTTTGAATACTGTAAAATAGGTAACAAAAACCCAGAGTCAGATTCTCAATATGAAATTACACTGTACATGTGATTTAATATTAGAGCAAAATTTTAAACATTCCTCTTTGTTATGAAAGTAATAATTTACCTTGGTATTATAAATACCTACATTAAAATTGCTCTTATTTTTTTAGAGAGAGATTTTTGCTATAGGGTATGTGTACTTGCTGGAGACACAGAGAGAGACAGAGAAACAGAAAGTGAGTAATACCCCCCCCACCTCCATTCTCCCATCTCCCCACTGCCTAGTCCCCGTGGGATGACCATGCCATAATCTCTTCTCCATTCTCTTTACTGATCTTGGGCATGCTGAGTTTCAAGCCAAGTCCAGCAACATAACCGTTACGGCGGCTGATGGTCCCACAGTTGCTATTCTTAAGTTTGTTGTGTGATTCCAGGAGGTTGAGCAGATGTACTCTAGACAAAATAACTGACATTTAGCCATCTTGCTTGATTTGTTTCATGTCTAATATCCTCATTATTCTAATACTGCAATCATCTTTTAGGTCTGTGGCACACCTGAATACATCGCACCAGAAGTAATTCTGAGGCAGGGCTATGGGAAGCCAGTGGACTGGTGGGCCATGGGGATTATCCTGTATGAATTTCTGGTTGGATGTGTGCCATTCTTTGGGGACACTCCAGAAGAGCTATTTGGACAAGTCATCAGTGGTAAATATCGTCAGGAGTTATCTTTAAGCCGCTGTTGGGAGGCAGCTATGTAATGTAAATCTGCTGAGTGTCACAGTTTTTACTGCAAAATGTTAACCTTTATCAAACAGTTAAGCCAACAAATTAAAAGAACTCACTCATCATAACAAATAATAGACTTTCACAATCTCAACAGAGCAATTTATGTTGAAAATTGACCTGGGAAGTTTTGTTAACATGGAATTCGGAAATTTACTAGCAATGTAACCAACTTTTATGATGTGCCTTTCCTGCAAAAGAAATTGGTATGGGATTTATAGATGATTTAATTGCCGTCCAGTCTTCCTTTCCATAATAGGAAAGTTGCACCAGGGAAGAAAAGGTTAATATGGGTAGCATTTACATAAATGGGAAAAATGGCTAATGGCACAATGAAGAAATTAACAAAAATGTAATAAACCCCAAAACAAATGTCTAGCAAATAATAAATAATGAGAATGGGAAGGAAGCAAATTGAATCCACAGATTGTTAATGATTTCATTGGTAGTTGTTATAGCATAATGTTATTTCTGTAACAGCTGTTCATCTTTCATTTAAAATTCAATAACCTTTAGATCTTAACCTGCAAGCTGACCTCAACTATTGTTATGTGGCTTGCGGCAAAACAAAATGATAATTAAATAGGATCGTATCACTACCCTACCTGCTAATTTTATGAATTTCCCTGAAGCATAGATCAAAAAGGCCCCTCTTCTTGAAAGTTTGTCAGGCATCACTGACATCTCCATCAGCCACCTCCAGTCTACTCTGAACTGTGCTTTCTTACAAGGTCCAGCGGTGGAAATAGGAGAAAAATACATTTTGCAAATGAGGAGCTCCTTAATCACGACATAATTTTTTATCATTGACTTTGCAAGCCAGGCATATTTGTAAACTTTTAACAAACTAGATGTGTGAGTTGCCTGCAGTGTATACCCCTTTATGCAATATCTGAGCTGTTTATGGATTTATAACTAGGCTGTTTGCAGATAGACCAAGGCCTGAATGGCACAGGGAATCAACTGTTTAATTAACACAAGCCGCAAATGCTGGCTTTGTTCTTGATGCCTTACGGCTCAGATGCATATTCATGTTTTATTTTCCAAATCAGATTTGAACTGCAGTAGAGGAAGCTAGCGGCAGGCATACACAGAAATAACTCATGTTTTTATTGCATTTCCATACACACAAGCACGCACACCTATCTTCAGGCAAACTCCTTTAGAACGAGAACATATTCTAATATTTATGACAGAGTTTAAATACTTCCTTTACTATGATTACTTTGTTGTTTCTTCTTTCTCTTCTTCCATTTTAGCATTTTGACCTTTCCTTTGTGTCCAATAATAGTTATTTCTACAAAATTATTTCGCATCTTGGAGCTAAATTGACTATGGCCAATTTGCCAGTTGAGGATAGTAAGAGACAAAATCATACTCTTTGATGATCCCAGGACAGGTGGTCACCTGAAATGCAAGTGTTAAGAGTTTGTATTAGTCCTCTATTTTTTTTATTTCATTTTCTTTTATACATTCAATCATATTATTTAACTTACCAAGTAAGTATTTCAGTATGTGAACATTTCTCCCTAGTCCAGTTGATAAAACTATAAAATATCTTCAACAGATAATACTGCATTTCTTTGTCCCATTAATGCTTTGCCTTCATATTTTTCTTCTAAATGAACTTTCTCAGGCCCTACTCTTCCACACACACTATATCTGGTATCTACACCTATTTACTGTGTTTGTATATCCTTCAGTCAATCAATTTCAGTCATAGAGTGTGGACACTCAGTATATATTAAGTGGTGATGTACAATGACTCTCCTTCATAGCCTGGCTTGCTTCACTCAGCAGTAAATCTTCCATATTCTCCCACTTTCTGTCAAAAGCCAGGGTTTTGTTGGTTTTCATGGCTGAGCAGTATTCCATAGAGTATATGTGCCATATTTTTTCTATCCATTCATCTGTTTGGGAGCATTTGGGTTGTTTCCATGACTTAGCAATTGTGAATAGTGTTGCAATGAACATTGTTGTGCAAGCTCTTTTCCGATTAAGAATTCTTCTGTCCTTTGGGTAGGTACCAATGAGTGGGATTGTTGGGTCATATGGTAGTTATATTTGTAGATTTTTGAGGAATCTCCAAATTGTTCTCCACAGTGGCTGGACCAATTTACATTCCCACCAGTAGTGTAAGAGAGTTCCCCTTTCACCACACCCCCATCAACACTTATCATTTTTTGTTTTTTTTAATCTTAGACATTCTGACTGGAGTTAGGTGGTCTCTCGTTGTTTTGATCTGCATTTCCCTTACAATGAGGGATGTTGAGCATTTTTTCATATGCCTTTTGGCTATTCGTATGTCGTCTTTAGAGAGTGTTTTTCAACTCATTCTCCCATCTTTTAATAGGGTTGATCATCTTTTTTCCAAACAGCTGCTTGAGTTCCTTGTGTATTCTCGTTATCAGTCCCTTATCTGGGGCATAATTTACAAAAATATTTTCCCATTCTGAGGGCTGTCAATTTACACTAGTTACTGTGTCTTTTGCCATCCAGAAACTTCTTAGTCTGATGTAATCCCACTTGTCTATTTTGGGGATCATCGACTGTGCTTTGGGAGTCTTATTTAAGAAGTCTTTCGCTACCCCACTGTCTCCCAGAGTTTCCTCAGTGTTTTCCAGGAGCAGTTTTATAGTTTGAAGTCTCAGATTTAGATCTTTGATCCACCTTGACTTGATTTTTGTCAAAGGTGAGTGGTAGGGGTTCAGATTCATTTACAGGTGGAAATCCAGCTTTTCCAGTACCATTTGCTGAAGAGGTTTTTCTTTTTCTACTGGATTGACTGGTACCCCTTGTCAAAAATCAGTTGACTATATGTTTGGGCATTTATTTTTGGGGATTCTATTCTGTTCCATTGGTCCACATGTCTGTTTCTCTGCCAGTACTATGCTGTTTTGATTACCACAGCTTTGTAGTATATTTTTGGGTCAGGGAGTGAGATGCCACCCACTCCACTCTTCTTGTGCCGAATTTCTTTGGCAATACGGAGTCTTTTATGATTCCAGATGAATTTTATGATTGTCTTTTCTAGATCTGTGAAAAATGTGTCTGGTATTTTGATTGGCATTGCATTAAATATGTAGATTAATTTGGGTAGAATTGCCATTTTGATTATATTAATTCTTTCAATCCAGGCACATGGGATGTCCTTCCACTTTTTTGTATCATTTTCAATTTCTTTTTTTAGCTTCTCATAGTTTTCCTTGTGGAAGTTGTTAACTTCTTTAGTTAGATTTATTCCTAAGTATCTTATACTTTTTGTGGCTATGGTAAATGGAGTAATTTTTTCAGTTCTATCTCAGTCTGCCTGTTGTTCGTATATAGAAATGCTATAGATTTCTGTATATTGATTTTGTATCCTGCAACTTTACTGTATTCGTGTATTACTTCCAGAAATTTTATTATGGAAACCATTGGGTCTTCTATGTATACAATCATGTCATCTGCAAATAGAGAGAGTTTCACCTCTTCTTTTCCTATTTGAATGCCTTTTATTTTTTCCTCTTTTCTGATTGCATTGGCAAAGACTTCCTATACTATATTGAAAAAGAGTGGAGAAAGTGGGCATTCTTGTCTTGTAGCTGTGTTTAGTGGGAAAGCTTTCAGCTTTTCTCCATTCAGGATGATGTTAGCTATGGGTTTTTCATAGATAGCTTGTATTGAATTGAGAAATGATCCTTCTGTGCCAATTTTGCTGAGAGTCTTGATCATGAAGGGATGTTCTATCTTATCAATGCTTTTTCTGAATCAATTGACATGACCTTATGGTTTTTATCTTTCTTCCTGTTAATATGGTGTATTACATTTATGGTTTCGCGTATGTTGAACCAACCTTGCATTTCTGGAATAAAGCCTACCTGATCATGAAGTATAATCTTTTTTTATAAGTTGTTGGATACAATTTGCCAGTATCTTGTTGAGAATCTTTGCATCTATATTCATCGGAGATATTGGTCTATAGTTTTCCTTCCTGGTCCTGTCGTTATCTGTTTTAAGGATAAGGGTGATAGATGCTTCATAGAATGAATTAGGGAGAGATTCACCCTTTTGGATCTTTAGAAATAACTTGAGCAGAATGAGGGTTAACTCTTTTTTGAAAGTTTTATAGAATTCAGAGGTGAAGACATCAGGGCCAGGGCTTTTCTTTTTTGGAAAGTTATTTATTACTGATTCAATCTCCTGGCTTGTTATGGGCCTATTCAGACTTTCTATATCTTCCTGGCTTAATCTTGGTAGGTTATATGTGACCAGGAATTTGACCATCTCATCCAGATTGTCTTGTTTCTTGGCATAGAGTTGTTCATAGTATCCTCTATTGATGTTTTGTATTTCTACTTTATTGTTGTTATATTGCCTGCTTCATTGCAGATTTGATTCACCTGGTTCCTTTCTCTCTTAATACGTCTCACTAGTGGTGTATCGATTTTGTTTATGTTTTCAAAAACCAGCTTTTACTTTCTTTTATTTTCTGTATAGTTTATTTATTTTCTATTTCATTTATTTCTGCTCGTATCTTTATTATTTCCTTTCTCCTGGAGTTCTTTGAATTTTTTTGCTGTTGCTTTCCCAGTTCTCTAAGGCATGATCTTAGGTGATTTTGCCTTCTTTCCGTCTTCCTCTTACGTGCACTAATTGCTATGAACTTCCCTCTTATGACTGCTTTAGCAGTGTCCTAAAGATCATGGAAACTCATGTCCTCATTGTCATTGGCTTCCATGAATCTTTTGATTTCAGTCTGTACTTCTTCAGTAGTTGTGGAGTCATTCAGGAATAGGTTGTTTAGTTTCCATGTATTTGAGTATTTTTGAGGATTTCTCTTGAGATTAAACTCAAGTTTAATTCCATCATGTCAGAGAAGATGCTGGATATAGTTTCTATGCCTTTGAATCTGTAGAGGCTTGCTTTGTGCCCTATGATGTGGTCAATCTTCAAAAAGGTTCCATGTGAGGGTGAGAAAAATGTGTATCTCATGGTTTTTGGATGGAAAGTTCTATAGATGTCTGTTAAGTCTATTTGACTTATGGTATCATTTAGATCCTTTATCTCCTTATCTATTTTTTTGTTTAGATGATCTGTCCCGAGAGGATAGTGCAGTGTTGAGGTCTCCAACAATTAGTATATTGCAGTCTATCTCCCCTTTTAGATCTAACCGTTTTTCTTTCACATATTTGGGTGCTCCTGTGTTAGGCACATAGATATTTATAAGTGTTATATCTTCTTGATCTATTGATCCTTTTACTACAATATAGTGCCCTTCTTTGTCTCTTCAAACAGTTTTTGTTTTAAAGTCTATTTTGTCAGAATTTAGTATTGCAACTCCAGCTCTTTTTTGGTTCCCATTTGCATGGAAAAACTTTGTCCAACCCTTCACTTTCAGTCTATGTATATCTTCATCCATGAGGTGGGGTTCCTGTAGGCAGCAGTTAGAGGGTTTCTGGTTTTTTATCCACTCAGCCAGTCTGTGTCTCTTGATTGGAGCATTTAACCCATTCACATTCAATGTTATTATCAACGTTACCAGATCTGTCCTGACTTTTAAGTTGGCCATTGTCTTAGTTGCCTTTTATTCCTTTGTTTCTGTCTATTAGTTCTTTAATTTTTCTGGAACAGTACTTTCTTCAGGGTTTCTTGGAGAGCTGGTCTGG